ACATACATACATATACTTATTATTATAGTTATTACATATATATATGTGCTATGTGTGTGTGTGTGTGTGTTTACGACAATATAGTTAGTAGTTACACGTTACTCGTAAAACATAACAATATCGGCTTGATGGAATATAATAGTCTATAGTATATTTATTGGCTTCCATATACCAAACAAATACGATCCAATCACAGTGAAAATTGCTACTATTTTACATACATAGTTAGCCAGCCTAGAAAAAATGTCCGTTCATAAAAAGAGCCAACCTTAAGGTGGGGAGCATGGGATCGGATGAGAAACGACGACAACATATGATATATACATACATGTCACTTTTATACACGCGCTAAATTTGTCCCATCTTACACATTACACAGCAATGTGCACACCTTTCGCTTCTACATACACGTGAATAGTGACTACACAAGCAAAAGTATGCTACCTTTTCTAATCAAACCAGTTAATATATATATATATATATATATATATATTATATAATATATATATATATATATATATATTACTTGGCTAATATGTATTTATATATTAATCTTTTTTTCTATGATAGAACAGGAAGACAAGACCACGGCAATGCGAAACAGTTCGTAATCAAATATCAGGGTCTACACGATAAGTTGCATTGTTATTCACAAGGCATGATTAATTAAGTAAGCACACTACCTACTGTATATAACAACTGACCCACTGTACGGTGGCCCTGAATCAGAGTAGCCTGCGTGCGTGCGTATATTTACTTATAGCATAGATATATACGAACACACGTGTTTGTCTATATCTACATTTATAGCATCATGATTTCGAAATTCACCTTCCCAACTAAATTCTCCAGGACAATCGGGCGGCAGCGCCATCTATCGGGATTTATTGTCTACAACGCATCATTCGGCACAGGGTTTGGCAAGTCCTGGGTTGGGTACGGTACGCTGTAGCCTCGGCCATTTACCTGCAAAGAATAGTGTTTACAGTAAACAAATAAGATTATCAAAAAAACATCTCTCCAGACAAGTCTATCCTGCACACTAGTCTTACAAAATGGACTTTTTTACAAAAATTAAAAAATACGTGACGTATTTTGTAATTTTTGTAAAAAAGTCCATTTTGTAAGACTAGTTCATGTCAAAAACACGTGCACGTGACCAATACGTGACGTACACCTATGTGTGACGTCACACTCACACTCACACTTACACACATACTTCAAACTATGTTTACGATTACGCTACGCTTACAATTACGCTACGCTTACGATTACGCTACACTTACGATTACGCTACGCTTACGCTACGCTTACGCTACGCTTACGCTATGCTTACGCTACGCTTACAATTACGCTACGCATACGATTACGCTACGTTTACGATTACGCTACACATACGATTACGCTACGCTTACGATTACGCTACACTTACGATTACGCTACGCTTACAATTACGCTACACATACGATTATGCTACGCTTACAATTATGCTACGCTTACGATTACGCTACGCTTACGATTACGCTACACTTACGATTACGCTACGCATACGATTACGCTACGCTTACGATTACGCTACGCTTACGATTACGGTACGCTACGATTACGGTACGCTACGATTACGATTACGCTACGCTTACGATTACGGTACGCTACGCTTACAATTACGCTACGCTTACAATTACGCTACGCTTACGATTACGCTACGCTTACGATTACGCTACGCTTACGATTACGCTACACTTACGATTACGCTACGCTACGCTTATGATTACGCTACGCTTACGCTACGCCAGACCTCCCCGTCACACATGTATACTGGTAGTTAATGCTTGCTTGCTTGCTTCTTTGCAGGTCATTCTGTTCTTCGTCAGCTTGTTGAATAGTGTCGCGAACAGGCGCTACATCATCGTCTACTTCAGCAGCCTGGCCGAGCCGGACAACATGCCCGAGTGGTTGCTCATGCGGCGTCTTTACGTCTGCCTCAGCCAAAAGTAAGCAGACGACATCGCTGGCCTTCGTCGTCATTGTCGTCGTCGTCTGCGCCATTGTTGTCGTCTGCGGCATTGTCGTTGTCTGCGCCATTGTCGTTGTTGTTGTCGTCTGCGCCATTGTCGTTGTCTGCGCCATTGTCGTCATTGTTGTCAGCGTCTGCGCCATTGTCATCGTTATCGTCGTCGTCTGCACCATTGTCGTCGTTGTCGTCGTTGTCGTCGTCGTCTGCGCCATTGTCGTCGTTGTCGTCGTCGTCTGCGCCATTGTCGTCGTTGTCGTCATCGTCGTCTGCGCCATTGTTGTTGTTGTTGTCGTCTGCGCCATTTTCGTAGTTGTCGTCATTGTCGTCGTCTGCGCCATTGTCGTCGTTGTTGTCGTCGTCTGCTCCATTGTCGTAGTTGTCGTCGTTGTCGTCATCGTCTGCGCCATTGTTGTCGTTGTCGTCATCGTCTGCGTCATTGTCGTAGTTGTCGTCATTGTCGTCGTCTGCGCCATTGTCGTCGTTGTCGTCATCGTCTGCGCCATTGTCGTCGTTGTCGTCGTCGTCTGCGCCATTGTCGTTGTTGTTGTCGTCGTCTGCGCCATTGTCGTCGTTGTCGTCAACGTCTGCGCGATTGTCATTGTTGTTGTCGTTGTCGTTTTCATCGTCTCCGCCATTGTTGTCGTTGTCGTTGTCGTCATCGTCTGCGCCATTGAAGCGATTGAAACAACTCAATGAATCTGTCGTTTGTTTCAAATGTAATGTTTAATGTAACCACATACGTGTGATTGTAACAACGCTATGAATCTGTCCGGCTGTTTCAGGTACAGGAAGAACCTGGGAGGGCTGTACGTCGTGCATCCGACATTCTGGTCGAAGGTGAGCCTCGCACGACGGTTCCCAGTCACCCACATCTCGCTCTCGTTTCCGAGAATCGGCTCATTTACCATCGAGCGATCGACTGCCAGCTCGAATCGAGAACCACTGCTTTAAACCCATTTTCGATCTCTATTATGATGATTATTATTATTATTATTATTTATTTTATTTTTTAAATATTTATCGAGATTCTGTAACTCCAAAAAGCGTTTGTGTTATCAATCGACGACAGTAATGCCGCGGTTTTTGATCGATGCATTGTAGATGGTGACGTGGTACCAGACAACGTTTAACTTTGCGGAGATCAAGGATAAGGTACAGCTCCTTGGTGGGGTGGAATACCTCTACCACTTCGTCGACCCTCAGGAAATCGTCGTACCCAACTTCGTACTGGATTATGATTTCAAGGTGAGGGATGTGCGCATGTTGTGGTCGTCTGCAAGTTGCGCCTTATCTAAACGTGGCTTCTAAGCGTAATCGTAAGTGTAGCGTAATCGTAAGTGTAGCGTAATTGTAAGCGTAGCGTAAGCGTAGCGTAAGCGTAGCGTAATCGTAAGCGTAGCATAATCGTATGCGTAGCGTAATCGTACGCGTAGCGTAATCGTAAGCGTAGCGTACCGTAATCGTAAGCGTAGCGTAATCGTAAGCGTAGCGTAATAATATAGAACAGTATGTCCCTG